AGGGGGTGGGAGGTACTGGCCATCATAGCTTTTAGCTTAGCTAGCATCCTCCTGTTGCCCACCTCCTCCAGAGTGTCCAGGGAGGAGCCCAGGACAGAACTGGCCCGCCTGACCAGTCACTCCAGTCTCTTTCTGTCCTGGGCCAAGATGCTGCCTGACCAGCAGACAATGACATCATGGATGGCCAAAGCCACAATTATATTTCTTCTGGGGAAAAAAAAAAGCCCTGTGCCTGTTTTTTAAAGAACACCACTAAGATGCTTTATATAAAATATAAAAACACTTTGTAAATGTAAAGACTAAACAAATCTGTGTGTGATGTCCAGGCACTCCAACATGGTGGTCCATGAGGATGGGTCACCGCCGAGAGGCTCCCAAGCCGCCGCCACCCGCCTGCCCGTCATCTTCAACCCGGACTTTTTTGTGGAGAAGCTACGGCACGAGAACGCCGACGTCTTCCTGGAACTTGTGTTGAGCAACATCACTCGCCTGATCGACCTTCCCGGCGCCGAGTTCTCCCAGCTCCTCGGCGAGGAGGGCCCCAAGACCCCCGGATTCTTCCGCTCGTTCAACTTCCTCAAACGCAAAGGTTGGTTTGTGGCCAACCAAGTGTTTTGGTTACTTGTTGTTGCTTATTAACCAATTGATGAAATGTAACGTTGGGAACACCCACACTGGTCGAGAGGAGAGTACTGTAGGATCTAGGACAGAGTGTTTTGAGTGACTGTTGTTGTTGTTTTCTCAGATAAAGGCGCCATGTTTGGGGCTGTGCTGTCAGAGAGCGCTGTGGCTCACATATACCGGCTCATTGAATTCCTCAGTAAAAGTAAGTTCACTGTTTTATTCTGGTGGTCTCTTTATTCTCCATTAATATTATTATTATTTTTTGCCTAGTGTTAAATCTACTGCTACTTCATTCTACGTAATGCAGTCCTTTCAAAAAAAACAAAAAAACAACCAAAAAAGAAAAAACAACGTATAATTTTACAACTTAAATAATGTGTAATTGCAAATCCACTCAGTAGGTGGCAGGAGCTGTCATTTGCTGTTTTCCTTCAGTAAACTTGATGCTCATGGCATCTTTTCCGTTTGAATCATGTGTTCAACTAATGATGCAGCCGATTTTAGCAGGGGTGGCCTGGATCCCAATGAGATGTTTACGGCAAAAAAACGTATTCATATAAGAAGGTGAAAATATGACTGAGGTCATTTAAAGTGATAATTATTGTCAAGGTTCCTCTCTACTAACTGTTATTCCAGATCACATTTGTTTTTTTTTTCTGAATACAATAGAGACGAGATCCTATTTCAACTATTTGTTTTCAGATTCTTCCGCTCTGTTTCATGTTATTCTAGGACTGTGTTATTTTTCATCGTACTTTATCCCCACCATTTCTTCATAACGTTCCACTCTACTGAGTATTGCTCACAACCGGTCCCATTTAACTCGTCGCCTTTCGTTCCTCTCGGTGCAAGTCTGAGTTTTCCCCTGCTCTCTCCGGGACCAGATCTGCACGTGGAGGGTCTGTTCCGGATTCCCGGCAACAGCGTGCGGCAGCAGGCCCTGAAGGAGCTCCTGACCAGCGGCGCCGACGTCGACTTGCAGTCCGCAGGCTTCCATCCCAACGACGCCGCCACGCTGCTCAAGACCTTCCTGGGGGAGTTGCCTGAACCCCTGCTCACGCACAGACACTTCCACGTCCACCTCCGGATCGCCGGTAGGACTCGGACACGACTTTGACACTTAGGGCACACTCCAAATCCGGAGTTGCGCCAGTATTACGAATACAGCGAAGACGCAAGCGTTCGTACGTCTGAAAGGTTTGTGAGATTCCCAACGCAGACCCGATGTCCTTTGTCTTTCCAGACATGACGTTGCTGGATGAGCATGGCAACAAGACGTCGGCGCCCAATAAGGAGCGTCAGACGGAGGCCCTCCAGCTCCTCCTCCTCCTGCTGCCCCCCGCCAACCGCTCGCTGCTCAAGCTGCTGTTGGACCTCCTCTACCACACCGCAAAACGGCAGGACGCCAACAAGATGTCCGCCTTCAACCTGGCGCTCATGTTCGCTCCGCATGTGCTCTGGCCGCGCCACGTAAGACGGCGCATTCAACCGATCGAGAAGGCGGCGTTTCGAGAAATGCTACTTTGTTGGCGGGCCGCGCCAATCGAAATGCAAAACATTTTGCCTTGCTCTGCTTGTTGTGAAGTCACTCGGCGTTACTGTTGGTTGCTCATGAATGTTGCGCTTTCTCACTTCTTCTCAACCGACAGGTAACGTGATTGTTAGTATATTGGCTGTTAATATATTAGTGACTCTCTATACTTCTGCACCAAATGTTTAATATTTGAGTGCTTTTTTTGGGGTGGGGGGTGGCAGAGCCCGAGTCTGTCTTAATTTTAATTTAATTTTTTTCCGGTTCGCAATTTTAAATAACTTTGTTTTTTGTGGGGGGGGGGGGCTGTTATTTAAAGTGTCTATTTGTGTTTCCTGCCGCAGATGACAGCCAACGACCTGAAAGACCACCTGAAGACACTCAACAACAGCATGGCCTTCCTCATCAGACACTCACAAAAACTCTTCAAGGTGACTGACACACAAACACACATAAAACAAACCCCAAGAAACGCACGGGCTCCATGCTGTGTCCAGCCCGTTGATGTAATAAATAAATAAAAAGCTTTGGACCAAAGTTGGCGATTTTTGTCTGATTTTGCTGACTTTCGCACCCATTGACTTGTGAGGCGTTCGTTTGTTTGTGTGTCAGGCGCCAGTGTACCTGAGGGAACATGCCCGGACACACTTCATGAAGACCGCCACCTTGCGCAGCAAGGTCAGTCAAAGCTTGACCTATTTGCATTGATGAATATTGTTTATGAAAACCCTCCTCCCCATCAATTCGCATTTATAAGCCATGTCCGTTCACACCAGGCAGCGTTTTGTTGCCGTTTTGTCTGCCCCGGACAAAACCGGTAAACGTGTAATTCGGCGCCATCCTGTGGCGGTATGTTTGTTACTGTAGGGTTTAAATCACTTGTATTTTTTTTTTCCTTGGATATTTGGCCTGTTTTGTTGTTGGTCCTTCAACTTATGTCCTGCGAGGGAGCAGTCAAAGGGAAATTGTATTTATTAATTTATTTTAAATGAACTCCTGACATCATATAGCTACTAACAGCCAGGGTTGCTTACTTTGCCATTCTAATGATGTTGATGATGATAATAATATTGTTATTATTATTATTATTATTATGAATACAAAGTCGTTTGTGTTACTTAACTTACACACTCACGTCATTGCCTAAAGACGTCAGTCACGTGTTTAGGCAATAGCAAACCCTTTGGTCATATACTCACAACATGGCTCTTTGTCCCACAGCTGTCATTTTTATCTGACGTATCTAAAAAAAATAAAATTAAAAAAGAGAGACAGAGAGAATGTTTTCGGCTGCTAATGTATGTCTCCTTCAGGACGACCTGGACCTGTTGTCACTGAACGGCTCGCCCCGCCGGCAAGTGGCTTCTCCCCTGAAGCGGCGGGCGGCCCCGGTTGCGTTTGGGTCTGCTCCAGATCAGTGCCCATCACCCGCTCAGCAGTACACGGAAGAGGCTCTTCAGGACCTCTTCAGGCACGTGCACCATAACATGCCCGACTCGGCTAAGAAGAAGAAGCTGGTCCGACAGGTTGGCTCCCTAAGCTATTCTTATTACCAATACAGTGGCACCCGCAAATTTACCAATTTGTGATTAAAAGAAAAAACTTTTTTTTTGGGGGGGGGGTATATTGTAGATGTATCAAGGTTTTTTTAAATTAAAAAAAAAGAATACATTTAAATGGATTAATTACTGTAATTACTTGATGTGCAGATGGTCAAACAAACAGCTGCGGCCTCAGCCACGAGTCCGCACAATGATCCCAGCAAAAAGCGCCTGCGGTCGCGTTCCTTTGGAGGACTCATCAAGGTAACTCAGTCTTTGATGTTTTCTTTTTTTTTTTAAAGACATTGTGAAGTGAATTCTGAGATTGGCTTCTTCATGCATTTTGCATGTTTGATAATAAATTCTGAAACTGTTTACACTGAAAAGTAGACTGGACTCTATAGAGTCCAAGAGACTCTTTTGTCAATTAGTATTCACACTTGTATGACACTGAGCAATGTTAAAAAAAAAAAAATTCCAGCAGGAACCTTTTTTTTTTTTTTGTCATTTTGTTTTGCATGTTTTTGTTCTCTTTTTGTTCCCATTTTGTCACTCAGTGTTTTCATCGGGGACATTATTTTCCCAAATACAGTATTTTATTGTGGTGTTTCCACATGACTCTTTTCTTTCTAATCCCAGCGTAAAGCTCGTGCCGGTCAGCTGACGCCGGACACAGTCGCCAGGGTATCTCACAAATGCGGCAAAGAGAATGCCATTCTGCAGCAGGTGAGACACTCATAGAGCGTATTCAGCAAAACATCGGCATCACGCATGTAGCATGTACACAATCATGAAATCATGTTCCAAAACTGATTAGGCTTTTGAAGACAGGCAATGTTCAGAAGCCGGCGTGTGTGCGTGTGTGTAGGTGAAAACTCCACTGAACGGTGGCAGACACTGCGGGGCGGGGTTGGTGTTGAAAAATCCCGACTTTGACTTTAGTAGGGACAAAGCTGCAAAAGTGTCCAAGGTAGTCCATGCACAAGAGCAAAAATACGCACACACATGACACACTTGCGACCTTCAGCCTAATGTGTCCATTTTTTATCAGGACACGCCTTCGTCCGTGGCCAGATTGTTCTCTCCGTCTCAGGAGATTTCGCTCTAGATGACAAGCCGCCACCACGTCCTGGTCTTCGAGGAGACGTCTTCACGCTGATGGAGTTATCGTAGCATTTGTAAGCGGAACCATTCAAAATCAATCGATTCTATCCAAGAAGGGAGGACTACTAGCTAGCATAGCATTTGAGATTGTACTCTTTATGAACCGCCATTACCGTACAGGAAGCATTCATAAGCTGTAATGTTTTATGAACTGCCGCCGCTTAACAGGTGTCTATGGTTATTAGCTAGCGTAGCCTAGACGAATGACAACTATCATTCAACAAAGGAAGATTGCTATTTAGCATAGCACACACAAAACTGTTCTTTGAATGAACAACTACAACCGCACAGGAAAATATGACTGACAAGTAGCTTATCCTTTGCCGACTGTGCCGGTTATAGGCCACCACTACTCTACAGGAAGAGCTGACCGCCAGCTAGCATAGCCTATTTAAACTACCAATTACAAGCAACCACTTCTGTACCTTGAAGTAAGAACCACTAGCTGTCTTCGCATTTGTAAGATGGATAGTTTTATAATCAATCAAACAGGACGCGATTATCACTGGATAGCACAGCCTTCATCGACTGTTCTGTTGTTTACAAATGACCACCTCTGTACAACAAGTGATGACCGGCTAGCTAGCGTAGCATTCCTAAACTGTACTGTTTATACGCCATCGAGCTTAGCTTTCATGGACCGTACTGCTTATTAATGACCACTACCAAATGGAAATTGATGACCGCTATCTTGCTTAGCCTTCATAGACTGTAGTATTGATCAATGACTGATAGTCAGCATACAATTCGTGGAAGATCCTGCTGCTAAATGGCCACAAACATACATGCAGCGGTGACTGCTAGCTAAGATAGCCTTGACAGACTGACTGGGAGACTTGACTGGTAATGATCACTTCTAATCAATATCACATTTAATATTCAGTATTTGGGATGTGGCCAGTGTATGACTGACACACTGCATCCATGTCAACCTTGCTTACATTTTCCTGTTTATGATAGGCAGCTACTGTAAGTCCACTTTAACCCAGTTTACGAGGACGATGGAAGTGATGTATGTGTACTGTTTACATTTAGAATTACTATTCTGTTACACTTTTTGTTGTGTGTTTCTCCTCATTTGGTTAGCTAAATGAAGGAAGTGATGTTAGAGTTATCAAAGAGGTGGACTTTTTTTTTTAAAGATGTAAAATGGAAGAGGGTGGGATGTTGTTCAGGCAGGAAGGCATTAGTCACATGGTGCTGTCTGTCAAAGTGTGGGCCTGTGATCGGACGGCTTTGGGGAAACTTCCCAGTGTGCTTTGCACTTCCTGACCCCCAAAGGGGTGGAATGATGTCAGCGGCAGGCATATTGGGTTTATGGAAAGGTGTCGACATGTTTATTCAGTATCCTACTAGTGCTCTGAATTGTCCATTTTCGAGTACACTCTTTGTCTTCACAAAGAAGACAATTCGTCCCACTAGTGGAATGACTTTGGCACTCTAATAGAACGGCCATGTTACTTGTAATGTAGTTTCCAATTTGCTATGCTTTATACTACTCTGGCACTTCTGAGCACTTGTTGAACGACTCAGTTGTGTTATTTTTTTCCTTTCACCACTGCTTTCCACTACTCTCACATTGCTCCATACTATTAGAATGACGAGAGCGCACGAGTCACTAATGAGGCAAAACTGGACGAGTTGTATCATTACTGGTATAATTTAGTGGTTTACTATTGTCTACTAATCATTCTACTATTGCACAGCATCATCTATTAGTAAGAACAAAGAATGTACTAGTACACAGACAATTTAGAGCACAAGTAAACCAACTACTACACACGAATACAATCATGACATTAATAGTGATGCAAAGCTGCGCTAATTGTTCTTGTTCGACTAGTGAGGACAAGGTGTGTGCTCGTCGGGCATCGATTTTCAAACAGCTTGTGGGTTGAGGAAAGGTGTATGCAGGTTGTGCTAATGTGTGCGTGTGGAACGTGTAAATGACCTTCCTTTTCACAAATAGCTAATTCAGCGAAATTCGTAAACTTAATATTTACTTGTGAATGTTTTTTTTAGCGTTGAGGTCTTGTTATTGTGTAATTATTCATAGACTTAATATTTACTTGTGAATGTTTTTTTTTAGCGTTGAGGTCTTGTTATTGTGTAATTTTGTAAATGTGAAATGTCTACGCTGTGTACGACAGTGCACCTGACGAGAGAAAGGACCGTTTAGGCATATGTGATGTCGAATGCTTGATTATTATTATTATTTGGGGGGGGGGGTCTGTTGTCTAGCTTCAGAGCAAAATAACATTCACTTGCCATCGTCCACATATGAATTAAAACTTTTCATACAAACGCTTGTTTTCTTTATTTTGTCACAACTCATCGGCATCCAATCAGCATATCCCTTTGTCAAGCGCTGCTGCAATGCTCGTTGTTGTCCGCCAGAAGGCGACATGTTTCCGCCAAGTCTACCCTCGCCCTGGCGATGACTTCGCGAATGATCATAAATGGTGTCATTATTTGGAGAAGACGCTTCATGTTTCATGTATAGATTATATAAAAAAATTCAAATTGTCTTAAAATACTTGTGGGCCAAAATAGACGAGAAAGCACAGGTGATTGCTCACTAGCTTAGCCTTTGTGAACTGTTGTTGCTGAAGGAGTCAGGAAGGAATGACCGCCAGCTAGTTTAGCCTAGACGACCGTTTCGAAAGGGAAACTTCCGTGCAGTAAAGGTGTAACAGACAGTTAGTTTAGCCTCCTTTAGTTAGATTCAAGGATGGCACTTCACTGAAGCTTGGGGGTACTATCGCCCAATCAGAAATCTGGATAGCCCAAGTTAAGCCCCCACCCAAACTCTCCCTCCACACATCACAGCATTTTATTTATCCAGTATTCATAAAATTTATCAGCTCCCTACGTATTGGTCAAGCGCCCCCCCGCCCTTTAGCACCAGGAGAAAAAAACCTGAGCTGTGCCTGACTGTATTTTTTATGAACGGCTGTTGTACAGGAAGGGATGATCTCTAGCTACTGTTTGTTCGAGACTTTATGCAGCAAGAAGTGCCTCCGCCTCCCTCCTAACTCCCCTGTGGAGGCTCACAAAAGAAGTGGCCATACTCGGCCTGTGGACAATTTGTTTGCTGTCACTCTGGAGTTTTTTTTTTTCTTTCGGGTGCGGCGGAGGGGGCATCAGTTCCGACTGACCTTGCGCCCCCTCCCACTAGAGTCAAGCTTCCAGCAGAGGTGGCCATGGCAACGCTACTCGGTTTTACTGTTTTTTTTGCCCCCTTTTCTTCCCAAACCTAAACCATGAATGTAATTTTTTTTTAAAATCCTGCGTTTTTTTCCCAACTCTAGACAGTCTCAGGCAGATACTAAAATGTCTAAGTAGCATTTATTTGGGGTTATCCAAATACAGGTTACTTATACGCTGTTACTTTGTTATTGTTTTTTTTTCCCCCAACAAAGATATGAACAAATGTGAAACTTGCTTTACCTTTCCATTCTTTCAACTTTACAGATACCACTTTAGATTTATGTGGAGAAAGGTTTGCGATCCGATGTCATCGTATAAGAAGTTGTAGCCACTTAACGACACCACCTGTCGCAGCCATTTTTGAAATTCTGAGAGCAGGAAAAGGAGGCCAGCATGTGGGGAGGGGTACTTATTTTTTCTAGTGCAGTCCCGTCCAAGGTAGGCTGTTATATTTCATAATATTGCCCTTTATCAAGGCGTCACTTTGCATCTGTTGGAATGTTTTTGCTTCGTTTTATTGACTCAGCGCCTCACCCTCACTGTTTTATATTGCAAATGTCCTTCAACATATTCTGCAATTAAAATCACCAGAAACACCTTAAATTGGTTTGGAAAGTTTAAAATAAGCCCCTGACACCAGTTTACAAACCACACAAAATTGGGTAAACATGTCAATCATAACATGATGTACCAAAGTCATGCCTGACATTGAATGGGAAGTCAGCCATTTTGGTTTCAAACATCTCATGAAAATTCAGCCCCCCCTCCCCCCAACACCCCCCCAATTGGGCAGACTTGACTATCAAATCGAGACGCAGAGAAAACTCTCAATGACCCATGTTCTAGCTTCAACGGGAAGTCGGCCATTTTGGAAAGTCAGAAAGAAATTTACCCCTGACGCCAATTTTACTGATCGACACGAGTCTGGGCGGACATGTTCATCATAACACCATGCACGAAAAAGTCTCAAGTACCCTTGCCCAAAATTGACCATGAAGTCGACCATTTTATTTTGAAGTGACCGATCCCAGCATGATTTTGAGGACTCTCCATGAAAAAGTGGCCTTGAAAATCGAGAATTACTGTGATGATAAATTCGCGAAACTGCCCTTGTGTTTTCCCCTGAGCTGCTCACTCGGATGCTTTGGCGTAATTACTATTTCCTCCTCCCCACATCATGTTCATGCTGACTCCGCCCCCCTACCCCCCCTTCCTCTTGGTGGTGGTGGGATAGGGAATAGACCTACAGTAGAGCAGGGAGAGAGAGAGGCTGAATAGAATGGAGTTCACCCTGGGTGCTTTGGGGAGCTACTGGGGCGGAGTCTCATTGCTGTTATTTGTAAAAGCTTTTGATGGATGATTGCTCGACGCGGTTGTGTGTGTATAGAGGGAGTGAGGGAGTCCCCCCCCCCCCCAAGTGGCTGGCGTCTGCGCGCACAATGACTCAATGAGGGGAAGCCGAAGCAAGGAGGAAGAAGAACAGTCAGCACGGAGCGCTCAAACCCAAGCACACCTCCCGCATCCTCGGTGTCTGCTTCTGGTTGTCCTGCCCTACCTGGGCGGTCCGAGCTCAACTCCTTCCTTGTGCATCCACTTCCTGGAGGAAGCAGCGCTCCTGCATCTCTAAGCAGGATGCCTGCCGGGACGAGCGGCGACGTCGAGAGGTCAAGAGGATGCGGGTGGGCGTCCCTCTTGCTTCTGCTGCCGCTGGTGATGGCGGCGGGCGGCCGGGGCGGCGCGCAGGCGTGCCCGGCTCCTTGCAGCTGCCTGGGGAGCACGGTGGACTGTCACGGCCTCGGGATCCACGCCGTGCCCAGAAACATTCCCAGGGGAGCGGAAAGGCTGTGAGTAACGCACAGTGCACGTGGGAGTGTGAGATTGAGAAAAAGTTGAGCGTGGTGGCCGAATGGTCGCGGTGTGGGGAGGTAATTTGGATATTATTAAATATACAATTGAACCCCCATACCCGCGGTTCGGCACCTGCAAATTCACGTGTGGATTGATTGATTGTTTGATTTTGCTTGATTCTGACTAACTTTGGAGACCACCATATTCTGTTAAATGTCTGCCTACTTGGCGTCCACTGCAGCCTGATCACCTTGGAAGGGGGGTGGTCCCATCTGCAAAATGCCCCGCCACCCCCAAATGCATTTCAATGGGTTCACCCACAAATCATCATTCAAAAGAATCTAAGTGCAACACTTCTGCCCCATTTTTGCTTCACTTCAATGGTTATTGTGTTGCTCCTCCTGGTGTGCCGACCTTGGCCACTGGAGGCAGTATAATACAAATATATGTGGAGACGTGCCAGCTTCCGAATAAGGCACAGAAATATTCGTCGTTCTTCGCAGAGGAGAAAAAAAATACACTCCTTTTTCAAAGCGGCACTGTAGAGTGGACGACATAGTTCATCAAATAAAAAATGGTGACTTCTGAGTGAATGATTCACAGTTCATTGTCAGTAACTCATTCACTTATCCCGAATGACAGTAGATGTCCACCATCTGAAAATCCCAACACAGCCACAAAGTCCCACATCAGCTATTTGCAGCAGAAATGATGACATCAGGGTATATAAATAAGGAAGCACTCCAAGTGTGTATGCGTGTGAATAATTGATGCTAGCACACACATTATCCCGTCCCTCCTCCCTCCAGCTTCTCCTTCGCGGGTCACTGCGGGAGGATGTTTCCATCGGGAAAATGGTGCGGCGTTTCCATCGGGAAAATGGTGCGTAAGCGTTGGTCCGTTAGACAGGCGGAACCGGCCCGAGTGGAGAACGGAGCGGTCTCAGGGGCGTTTGTCACCGACGCTCCACGGGGACCCTCCTGCAATGTTGACTTTGAGGAATGGGGAATTGTTTTCGCCGCTCCCAGTGGCAGTTTCCTCTCAAACAAAACGAAATCAAGAGAGTTGCATTTTGTGCATCTGTGAACAACCGCCCCCAAAAAGAAAGACAGAGAAAAAGAAAACCTTTATTTGTCTCACAATGGAAAGATTCCCAATTTACAGCAGCAAAATTATGAAAGGGAGAAAACCCATAAAATGTTGTTCAAAGAAAGCCCTTGCTATCTTAATGCTAGAAATCAATGGAAAACGCCGCTCACATGCTAATTATTAGCGTTGAGAGTCGCATTTTGGA